AGCCACACCACCAAAATCTACCCACCATCACACTACACCCAGGGACAAATGCCCATGCACCGACCACAATGATGCCACCTCACCCTCGCGGCGTCCCACTGCAGTCCCCTCCGCACCAAATGATGCCACCAACAGCCTGGAAATGTCCGACCGTCCCATCCCCACATGGCTCCTCGAATGTCTCTCAGTGGCACAGAATTCCCTCACCCAGTTTCCCCCTATGAGTGGCGAGCAATCTGGACCATTCACTGTTTATGCCATGGGCGAACCACCTCGCAGTCGTCCATGGCACCCCTTATGGGTGGGGACCACGACCATCTTTGCACACCAGCATCCCATCATGCACCAAGGGGACCAACTATGATCACACTCAGAAACCAGCCTCCACTAAGACCACTAATGCCTACCAGTCAGGGCCATATCCTGCCACAGGAGCGTCCAGAAGACCCACAAGATTCTTCACTGGAGCCAATTGCTATGGACGAAGAGTCCACAGAACCAATCCCAATGGACGAAGAACCAAAAGAAGTTGATTTGTCCACGGAAGTGGAGGACCAAAATGAACAAAAGTTGTCCATAGTGCTCGAACAGGAACCACCAAAAGAACTGTTGTGGCCTGTGGAATATGGACCAAAAGAACCACTACCACGTCCTGAGGAACCAAACGAACCAATAGTACCACGAGAGGACAAAGAGGCAAAAGTAATGGTACCCCTAATGGGTGAGGAGCAAACCAAACCGCTGGATATGCAAGACCAAACTGATGATGGACAAACAGGACCGCCCCAGGCAGCGGAAAGACCACAGATGTCAGTTTCACCATTGAAGTCAGAAGTATTGCCTGAAGTAGTTGAGGACGAAAGCGAACCACAAACCGGTGTGGAGAAAGGACCAAACTTACCACCACAAGTGGTACCCATACCAGGAGAGGAACCACAAGAGCCACTACCTCAACAAACTGAACCAGTGGAACATTTGGAAGTGCCACAACTGGAGGTACCGGGAAAAGAGCCAAATGAGAGTCGTGGACCACTACCAAAACAAGATGTGCCACAAGAGACCACTAGGGACAAAGAGAGACAATTTGAACCACAGACCACTAGGGACGACGAAGAGAACCAATCAGACACGAATGGTTTGGCGACCACTCCACAACCACTAGAGTCGAATCCACAGCCAGACGTCGACGATGACGAACCACTAGCAACCAATCCAGAGCCAACAGACGAAAACGAACCGAGTGAGGGGGAAACTAGACCAAAAAGTTCGACTTTCTCGGACGATGACATGCAAATAGAAACAACAGACGATGAGGATTTCAGGATAGCGACAATGGCAGATGACAGTGATTTTCTGTAGCTTTTATAATTTTTCCTTTTATGTGCCTTGCTATGCCTGCTGTCCTTAACCCTTCCTGGTCTGTGCATTTACATCATGTGTGACTTTGTACAACACATTCTCTTTCACAATTGTGCTTGTATTGTACATAATAAGACATGCTGGTATGTTAATTATTAAGACGTCTGGTGAAAAATATGAGTTTTAGAGCACTGATCTTTGGCACTGCAAGCGTGTATCAAGTTACTTTTAAATGTAATACCTTTTATCCTATATACAAGTCTGTGAAAGGTGTCCAAATTTGTTATAACTGGTCACGTGATCAGTGAAAGTTTTCTATATGTATATCAAAAATTGGTATGATCAGTTATATTCACCTATAGTATTAACTGCAACAAGTCCAACCGGACTGACCGGTCCCTACTTAGCCTTGGCGAGCCCAATGACCCCACAAGACAGACGACCCCCTGCGTGGCCCGTGGTCTTGCTGTCCTCGTGACCCCCTTGTCCCAGATCATCATCATCAGCGTGAACCTGGGGTCAAATAATTACATCATTACGACATCACACATGAATCACCAAAGTGTGAAAACCACATAAATGAATGACAGGTTTCTATTAAATTACTGCACTTTAAAAGGTGTCAATAAACAATTAAATACTTCATTGGGGAAAGTAACTACTTGTACGATGGAGCATTGCCCTATAAAAACAAAATAAGCCAGAGCTAAGTGTAAAAGATAGATCTAGTACGAAATTTCGAGGGAGAAATAAGTTTTCGATCCTTGAAGTTTCCAAGCCAGTTGTAAGAGTTGTGTGTTTCAGTGACTATTGAAGTCGGGAACCATAGCCGGACAGAATTTCTCCTTTCTCGGTCCCAATCTGATGGTTCCTCAACTACACAGTACAAAGGAACCCACCACGACACTGCGTCCAATGATGCCGTCTGGTCCAGACAGAGGGATCTGAGCATCCGTGATGTCGATGGTGGCAGTGCCCGTCCCGTCTGCCACGATGTTTCCGACGTCTCCGGCGTGTCTCTCTGCGTCCGCAGGTCCTCCGTGCTCCTTCCCCGCCGGGTTGAAGTGAGGCCCTGCGCTCACGCAGCCAGCAGAGTAGTCGCCAAACTGGTGGATGTGGAACCCGTGGTTCCCCGGCTTTAGTCCCGTCACCGACCCCGTGACCTTTGTCTTCTTACCGTCACCAGTCTGCAGAGAGGATAGCAAAAGACAGTGTAAGCATATCCACGATTTGCTGTAGCTACCACAGTGGAGAACGCACAGCCCATGCGGAGACAGCGGAGACGCCTTACGCCGACCGTCTACACGTGCGCAAATGCGCGACCAAGCAGGAGTAAAATCTTACGGCAGTGAAATAAATGGTTCCTTTCACGGAGCCTTCCAGCACGCACACGGCAGACATGGCTCGATTCTTTGCTCTGGGTGAAGAGAGATCACGTACGTATAAAATGGCAGACAGACCTGCTCTCCGAAATTTTTCAGGGCTACGATTTTTTCTAACTGCGCATGCCGTTTTTATGTGCGTCCGATAATTAAGCGCGCTCTATAATTATTCAGGGGTCTGAAATTTTATATAATTATACTGCGACCCCGTCGCACTGGGAAACGAAAAGCGTGGCTGTGGAAGAGGCGACAGTCTTCCTGAACCCAGAAAGAAAGTGGAGAGGTTTTTATCGAGGGATGCAGTGATTTTGGCCCGCGGCGACAAAGATGCGGAGACGACTTTTGGCCGATCGCGGTAAGCTGGATCGGCTGCCGATCAAGAAGCAAAGGGTCGCCGAGACCGTGCAATCCAGGTGAGCGGCCTGGATCGACACCTAGTGTTACGGTTCCCTGGGGGCGCCTCCGTAGGCTTTTCTCAACGCTTGGTGGCTGTTTATGTTGCACCTGTTTGTCCCGCGGTGGTGTGCTCTAATTGAAACAACCTCGTTGTCTTGTTTCTCGGGTGGAAGCGGCGAAAGCTCGCCGGCAACGCGAGTACTCAGAGAGAGAGTAGGATTTGGGTCAGACTGAATAACACGCTGTGTCTATTCCCATTTTAGTCTCGCTCTGTGCGCTAAGTAGTGTGTTTAGCAACGGTAGCTGATGTTTTTCCTAAGTAAACATGTGGGGTATGGTAATTTATCATTATCTTTCCTTGGCTTGCTGCACGGAACAGACGCATATGTGTGCATGCACACAGTTTATGAGGTTTTGGGGGAAAGGGAAATGTGGTACTGTTTATAAAAAGTGAGGCGGTTGGTTTTGGTAACAGTTGGGGTTGATAATGTGTTGTGAATGGAGGGGCCTGATGTTGACTTTCATTGTGTTTCACTGTGGGTGGTGGAAACTGTATTTCTCTACTGTGGAATCCTCTCTAAGGACACCCCTGAGTGAACTCTCTTCCTTCCCCAAGAACATTAAGGCAGCCTCTCTTTCCTGTATGGACATTTTATTCTGTCCCACTGGTGTCACGATCAGAGGTTTTGTCCAGTTTCTGTTGCCCACCTGTAACCTTGCTCTCCTCTCTCCTCCTGTCACTCTCTCTCCTCTCTCTATCTCTCCTTCCCCACTCTGGAAGTGGTTGTTGATTTTGTCATTGATGGTTGTGTTTTTTGTTTTTCATCTGTAAAGTTGTTTTCATATTCATTATTGGATGGCTGGCTATCCTGCTCCTGGACTCAATGGCCGATTTTCGGTTTGAGTTTCTCTACCCAGCGTTCATGTTTCTCAAGAACTGTTTTGATTCCTATCGCTACCAAGGATTGGTGGGTCCCAGTCTGAGTCTCTTTCTCTATCTTTGTATCTGAACCTCTATCAGAACCTCTATCATTGTATACACACACATTGGAAGTAGTAGTAACTTCACCTCCTTATGATTTGAGGTATATACTAGCTTCTTTTTCTTCCCCTTCCCTAATACTATATTTCTATGCTTCCTCTTCGCCGCCTTTCCCTCTCCCCCTTCTCCCTCTTCCCTCTCCCCCTTCTCCCTCTTCCCTCTCCCCCTTCTCCCTCTTCCCTCTCCCCTTGTCTTTCTTCTCCCTCTCCCTTCTCTCTCTCCCTCTTTTCATCATCTGTTCATAGTTCTTGGACTAATAATCATCTTGGCATGGTTAAGCATGTGTGAGCCAATGGTCATATATGTTTTGTATGGTATATACATACACAGACCATGCATCAATGGGATGCCGGTCTTCACGAAAGTCTTCATATTTTAGCACAACACTGAATATTTGTCGTGCGACATCATTCTTACCTCACTCGTCCCAGCAATGTCTCCATACCGTAGGGCATATAACTTTTCACAAAGTGTCAGATTTCGCAAATTGTTGTGAATGGCCTACAAGAACTTTTGTAATTCCTGGGTGACGATGCTCCGAAATACACCTTATAATCTCTCTCTCTTTCTCTCTCTCTCTCTCTCTCTCTCTCTCTCTCTCTCTCTAGATTTTTGCTCTCTTAGTCTTTTGTCTGGTGGTCTATCTGGACCTCCTTTGCTGGACCGTCCTAGCCAGTCCCTGGCTGTTCCTGGGGGCTTCTTCGTGCGTCTGGCTGGAGATTATCAGAAGCAGCGGTGAGTCGGGTACCGCCTCCTTTCTCTACCTCGCTACCAAGTTGTTGAGACATGTCTCTGTATCTCCAGACCACAGTTTCAGTTATTCGGCGTTGACTCTCTGGATGCTGTTTCTCTATGTCGAGGTCTCCTTCAGACTAGAAAAGCTTCCCGGACAGCTGCTTAATTTCTCCAGACCATTTGCCGCTCACTGGTATACATATATATATATATTGGCATCTAGCTTCTTTCTGTGTGTTTGTATGGTGTGTAGCTGTTGAGAATTGTGTCAATAAGGAATCCTATGAACCCCTTTCTTCTGTCCCATTGGTGTCCTGATTGGAGGGGCTCCACTGTAATATCCTCGTTTACTGCTCCCCCCCAGTATTGGATATCCTGTCGTTACAATGAGTTTCCTGATCAAGCACCAGATAATGCACGTAATTCGCCAGAGACAGCAGAAGAAGATTGCGGAAGAAAACGCAGTCTATTTCGCAATCCTCCAAAAAGCCTTGCCCCAGGAACCCTCCCGGACAGCCGAAAACAACGACAAAGATCACAAGAACGGAACGGAAGACTCTGTTGTTATGATGTCATCGACAACAACCGTCCAATCGGATCGCGAGGGGCGGCCCAAAGCGTCTCCAAAGACAAATCATGGAGGAGGAGGAGGGAAGACGTCGAATCGAGAGAGAATGGGCAGCTCCAGTGGAGGGAGGCATGGGAAGTCGGGAAACTCTCGGACCGCAGACCGTTCCAATACGTGCAGATCTCAGACCCAGCCGGCGGGCAACGAGCAGTCGCAGCAGGCAACGGCACATGGTTCAGGAGGAACAGCAGCCGCGGCGAACGGCGACGTCCTGCGACCCTCGTCTGCGGGGAAGGTCCACGTGGTTGGCGGGAAGAAGCAGCTGGCCGTGAAGGCCGTCCCGCGTAGCAACCAACCTCCTCAGACACCGGGTGCTCCTGCTGGTCCGGTTGCTAATGGTACTACCCCGCTGGACACCGTGAAGGACAAGGTGAGCCGTGTTTTACGCTGCTTGGAAATTGTGTGTATATAGCACGCTGGCCGAAAAGAAAAAGTGTAGAAAAAAGAAACGAACACCGCTGTCTACCCCTTTCTCTCCTCCTCTCCTCCCTCCCAGATGAAGGTGGCCCTGGACATGTTACAGAACGAACTACGCTCGGAGCGAACTCTGCGACAGGTGGCCGAGGCTTCTGCCAGCAAAATGGAGCTGGAGGTCAAGAAACTAAAGGCGGACCTCCAGGTTCGTAATCCTGCCTCGAGTATCTATATACTACACATACTATTAGTAACCCTTAATCAGAATCCAATTTTCGCACAGAGAAAAGATTCCCGGACTTTTTTAAAAGGGTGCACTACACGACATCTTGGTACAGCTCGTGTTTCCCGTGAAGAAAGAAGAAAAGAGAAGTGAAAGCCCAGTCTATGCAAACATTTTAGCAGGCCGTTCAATTTTTGGTCTTCCAGACCCAAAACCTTTACCTGAGGTGTGCCTCTTTTCCTTGAGAGGGGTTCCACTGTAATATAGCAGGTCCCTTAAAACCCCCAACTAAATTCTCATTGTGTGATCCCCCCTCTAAATCTCTCTCTCTCCCTGACAGGCGAGTTGTCTGCAGGAAGAGGAGACGGCCACGAGAGTTGACGAGCTGCAGACGAAAGAGAAGACCCAGCGAATGGAGCTCCATAGGTTCAAGACTGAGAGTGAGAACCTGCAGCTCAAGTGAGGAGACGAGGGTGGGGAGGGGGAAAAGGGTTAAACGTTTAACTCGCAGCTAAAAAGAGGTTCTCGGTAAAAATTTCCATGAGTGGAAAGGATGCGAACACCGCACACTTTTGCAGTTGGCTTGAAGATGATTGCTGCATTATTTAGTTATAATCGTAGACTCACAACATGAAATTAGTGTTTTCTGCCTAAACAAGTGCATAAACTACAGAGGATTGCACATATGCAGCATATAAGGGGGGGGAAAGAAAAAAAAATATAGAGTGTTCCCTTATAATAGTCTCTCGCCATTTCTATCAAGGTTGTTAAGGTTGAGCTCGGGGAAGAATCACGACCAGGCGTCCATAGCCGTGCTGGAGAAGAAACTAAAGGAGGAGGAAGGAGGGAGACAGCGAGTGGAGCGAGAGCTTCGCGAACACCTCGACCACATTCAGAACCTGCGCAGCGAAGAGGAGGTCATCCAGCTGAAGGAGATGCTGACGTGTAAGGAGCGCGAACTGGACTCGATTCGGAAAGAGCTGCACATGAAACGCAGGCAGATCGACCGACTCCAACAGGACATGAATGTATGTCACATGTCACTACAGGCCGCCGAGAAAGACCGCGCGCAGCTCCAGAATTCGCTGAGCGAAGAATCCGGCATGAAGATGCGACTGTTGAAGGCGCTGAGCGAGCTGACCCACCGGAACCGGCTGTACATGGAGGAGCTTCAACGGAAGAACCAGGAGGTGGATCACCTGAGGCAGAGACTGGCGGAGATAATGGCGATAGTTCCGACTATACCAGCACCTATACACCCTCCAACTGCATCCACTAGCGCTAACAACGGAGGGTTCCAGCCGACTACCATGACCCCGTTTGCCACGACAACGACCTCTTCCGTGTTCACGATGCCAGAAGGCATGTCCACGTACCATCCACCGCAGTCACCTGTTGCCATGTCCATGTCGACAGCTGCAGCCTCCTCCGCCCAGCAACAATTCCTGACCTCTCCCGGCAACCAGCAACCTTAAAAAAAGCGGAAAAACTCTTTTTTCAGATGTTAGCAAGGAGCAACCTTAGTTCATTGTTGTCACAACATGCTCAATGATAAGCTCTAAAATTTTTCTTTTTGAAAAAATTATGAGCCAAAAAATGTGATGATACGTGATGCTGCGTAAAAAATGGGAGCAAGTATATAACTTTTGAAAATCACACTCTTATAAAAAGATTGATTACATGCAGTTTGCAGGTTGTTAAAAATGATTTTGACTATAATTTTTAGGGTCTAGAATGTACAAAACGGTTTCTTCAAATACTCTGATGGAAGGGTTGGTAGAAACATTGCTGATCCTCGAGTGCGGGCGGAGACTGAGAAGTGGACGAGGCGGTAGAGGGTGTGGTCGGCAGAGGGGTGTGGCCAGGATCGTCGTCGTGAGAGAAAACGAGGAGGGGCTTTGCGAGGTAGTCAGGGGAATAGTCGGTTGTCGTGCCGTAGTCATAGAGATAATTGGTCTGTGGTTGATAACAGCTCATTACCGTGGGGACTTCGTCATACACTTCAATTGGTCCTGCACATATATAGCGCGAGTAGAAGATAGAAAAAGGGGATGGGGTATATACGTAGGTGGATACAATGTTGCTCCTATGCAGTGTATAGTATATTAGTCATGTGAAAATGGGAGAGCCTGAAAAAGAAAATTGTCGCAGTAACCCCTCAAACCACAAAAGTTATAGACTCCAATATTGTTTGCCATTTGAAGCTATCGTCACCGTGTATTATTGCTATTAAGGAAAGAGCGAACCAACATACCATTGTAGTCATAGACAAACTGGTCACTTGGTATCACAGGAGGGGTCATCTGCTGTTGAATGTGGGGGGAGAGGGAATAATTGGCCCCCTGGTGCTGGGGGGCGAAAGACTGGAGAGGAGGGGGCCCTGGGAAGGGGGCAGAGTAGGGAGGGGGAGAAGGATGGGGCAGGGGAGGCAGAAGGGTTGAGTGGAGTCTGGCTACCATCTGCAGTGGTTGAATGTAAGATCCACTGTGTGCCCTGGAAAAGGTAGAATTTATAATTTCCTATAATAATAATTATGCTCAAAATAGTCTGAAAGTTGTTCCTATGGCTTTACTGCAATGAGATTATTATATATACCTTTCAGAGGCATTGCCGCCGAGAAAGGCCTTGGCAAAAGGATTGTTCTTGATCTTCATCTGCGTCACCTGAAGAACCAAGAACAAGTTTTTATCGCTGAACTTTGCCCAGCAATCTGTGTTCTTCATGAAATTACCATGACATTGTATGTATACTTGCCTTGTCATTCTGGTAGGCAGTAACAGCAATGAACTGAGTCTCTGGAAACGTGAATGTGGTGATCTCCACCGGCTGTTGTTTGCCATTTGAAGCTATCTTGATCACGTGAATGTATGGCTGGTACTTGTGCAGCGAGTTGAGCTTGATCTAAACATGAAAAAACCTCATGAAGTTTTTCAAAAGAACGAAGTATAATTACAAAGACAGGGAAGATAAATTATTCTTCAATCATCCATTTAGCAGGTAAATTATTTGCGCACCTTTGAAGTTCCGTTTTCTCTGTTAGAGAGTTTGAGTTTGGCGAAAGAGACGGGCTCTTGCATCCACTGCGATCCGGGCGCCACCGACGCGAAGTGCACGAACACGTGACGCAGGTCCGCATTGTCCTCGCATGTGCTCCCCTTTTGCCAGTTTCCATTCAAAAACCTCCAACTGCACGAGAGACATAATTATTGCTTATGATCGCAGCATAGCGTATTAGATTCTACGTGGCGCACGAAACGACACAGAGAAAATTCTAGCTATTGACCTGCGTTTGCTGTAGCTACTGCTAACAACGTATAGAAGATATTAGCAAGAAACATGCAACATTATGTGGAAGCTCACCGGTGCTGATGAGTGCATCGAAACTCCATGACCACGGCGTACATTGCCGTCATCTCCAGCCGAGAAACGTGCAGCTTCAAAACTGGAAACATTCGCCTGCAGATACGAAAGATATTGGTAGTAACCCTGCATTTTTGCGGCTTAGTTTATGGCGGCGCAACGCACATGCACACACGAGGGCTGCGGAGTAAGTAAGAAATGTCGGTTTTCTATCCCACTTTCATTGTCTGGAAACGCGTTCGTAACAACTTTAGTGCATATTTTTGTGCAGTGTTTCACCGATTGCTAAATTACAGGATTTACTAGTAGCTGCGTGTGAGTGGATATGCAAACAGGCGAAAAGCCCGTCTCTGTCCGCGTAGCGCTACGTACGTGCGCCCTGCATGCAGCGCACGCAGCGCACGGACTATTGTTTCGGCTACGCATGCACAGTAAAGGTGGGAGGAGCTGGCTCCCAGGGCATCTCGCTCACCTTCCAGCTTTTGTCACGATCATTTCGTTCGTGGCGGAGAAAAACTGTCTCCAGAGGGACGCGCTGTCAAGCAGGACTCGCGGCGGGTCTCCCTGCAGCTGTCCAGCATGAGACCCGAGCTCGCACGGTGGAGACGGCGGCGAAGAGCGCGCGTCCGCCGCGTCTCCACGCGCAGCAATTTCCCGCCGTCGCTGCAGCTCCTCCTGCTCTGAGATAGCGGCCTGAACAACGGACCAAGCGACAGTGGGCGATCCGCCTTCTAGAACGTCCTTTAGAGCCTGCATTGGTCCGCGCCTGTTGTCTGGTAGCAAGATGCCAGGTTTTTGGCACAATTCCTACCAGTTCGCAAGTTTTATGGGGCGCTGCTGGGCCTTTCCAGCGCTGCGCGCGCATGTGTAGAGGGAGCATTAGCAGTTTTCATGTGTGCGCAGTCCGTAGATCTCATATAGAAAGTAATAAGCAGAGTGTGTCTTCATTATTACCTACCTCGCAGTCTGCAAGCAACACGCTTCGGGTACGCATGCGCGTCTCTAAAATAGGCGTGGTTAATAATTGCGCGGGCCCGCGGCGGAAAACGGTGTACTACAGAAACACGAAGGAGTCACGAACCTTTCGGGATTTTCCACAGAGTCTGTCATCAGCATGCTCACAAATAGAGATATTACCTTTGTATATAGATTTCGCTCCTTATTTTTATTTGTATTTCGCTGTGTGTGCTTGTGCTCCCAGAAGGGCTATCTCATGAACTTTTGAACTTTTGAACGGTGCGGTTATGATAAAAAAATTATCCTCCATAAAATTAGCAGCAGGTGTATCTCTTCTAATTATTACAATAATCGAGTCCAGGAATTGAAACAGAAAGTCATAAAAGTAGATCAGACTTGTTGAGAGTCAGTTCAATCACCAGCTCCAACTCTCCACGCGACACGTCCTCCAGAAGCACCTGCTTATGCCAGGGGCTGTCCCCTTCTTGTAGCAGGTCCTTCAACACCACTCGACCACACCCCAGGAAATCTGCAGAGAAATTTCGAAACTCTCTAATTAGAGGAAAGCCACGCCCACACAATAATAATACAGTGAACGGCAATCAATCTTTCCTAGTTACCATTGGGTGAGAATATGTCTTGATCGAACACGGTGATCTCCAGTACATCTTTATTCAGGTCATGAACATTGAACTGCATCTACATGTAAAACAAAGTTAGTAAACTCTCTGTATAACTTTGCACACTATCTGCACACTACTTGCACATTCTAGTATACTCTCACTCTGTAATTATGGCACTTTTCTTGTGCATTTGCGAAATGCTGTATATTTTTAAATCTCAGGATACTATCAGGATATCCTTGCATACCCCAGCACCACAATCTTACGGTGTAGTTCCACTTGGGGTTGAGGCTGTTTGAAACCACGGGTGTGTTCTCTTCCTGCTGATTGAAATGGAGGACACAGAACGGGTCGCTTTTTCCGTTTGGGTCGCTGGCAGTCAGGTCTTCAGCTTTCACCACCGTCACCTTTAGCACCCCTACTGTGTGCTTCATTGTGTGGGCCCCTAGTAATTAATTAACACGGATTAACCAATAATTTCTCGTTAGCTATACTGATGCCCCTAGCAATGAACCATCAATTTATCATCGTGTGAGCCCATTCAACATGGATTAACCTAACAGCAATCGATTTCTCGTTAGCTACTGATGCCCCTAGCAATCAACAAGGATTAACTCCTTAACAATCCATTTATCATTAGCTACTAATTCCCTCAGTTCAACAAGGATTAACTCCTCTTATAATTCCCTCAGTTCAACAAATGTACCTCTTGGCTATATTCTGATGCCCCAAGTAAAACAACACAGATTAACCCCTTAGCTTTCACTTCCGTTACTCTCAGAATTCATCTATCGCGTGCCTCATCCAACTCTGAGAGAGAGTAACAGTATTCTCACATTTCTTTTTCATCTCTTGTTCGCTTCTTCGTTTGGTCTTCAAATACTCGTGCTTGGCATCCTGGACGACTCTGATCCACACGTCTCTACAGACGAAGAGTGCAACACAATAATCAGCTATCTACATGTGGAATTGTACATCCATCTATAGTTTTACTGTCTGCAAAGATTGCTGGAGTCTGCAGGCTGCAAATCATAAAGGACGCCTCTCTACTTGGTTCTGCCCCATACTAATACATAGGGACACCTCTCTATAAAGGACACTTGGTTCTGCCCCATACTAATACATAGGGACACCTCTCTATAAAGGACACTTTGTTCTGCCCCATACTAATACATAGGGACACCTCTCTATAAAGGACACTTGGTTCTGCCCCATACTAATACATAGGGACACCTCTGAATAAAGGACACTTTGTTCTTTCCCCCATACTCCAGCAGTTGCAAATCATAAAGAACACCTCTCTATAACTGAGATGTGGTTCTGCCCCATATACATTAGATTATACTATCTCCGAACAAAGGACACCTCTGAATAAAGGACACCTCTCTGAATGTCCCCAACCATTCCCTTTTTCTGCAGAGCTCGCAGGCATTAATGAGTACATACATCTTTTGTTGGATTACTGCCGAATAAGGAATACGAATGTATCCCCTCACTCTACCTGGCAGGATCACTGTCTGCTTTCAGAGGGATGTCTTTCTCCTCCGATGGATAGTTCATGAGGAAGACAGACGGCCCTAAATAGACACACGTCAACAACAAACGACCAAAACAGTCAAATGCTATAGGGAGTAATGATTTCGCGGGATGCAATTTCGTGAAATTTTGCCAATTAGCGCTCCCGTGTTGTAGTGGCTACTTCAGCGTGAAATTGAATTCCACACGCTGGGATAAAAAATTTTTCATCCCTCAAAGATTTTCCGACCTACGACATAATTATGTAGTAATCGTTATTTTATATACAATATACATACCGTATTGATCAGGAGGTGCTTTGTTAACAATAGTGTCTCCCAGTAGATATGGCTGTATGAAATGGGGCAAGACTGATTCTGTCAAATTTTACACGAGTGCTAGATATTACACTTCGGAATCATAAATTTTTAAATCTTTCAAAGATCCCTTAATCTGTTTGGAAATGCTAGCTAGCGAAAAACAATAACAATAATTTTTCAAATAGTACAATTTTTCTTGCATAAAAACCGCTACATTTTTATCCCTTAAACATCATAATTACACCACAGTCGCCAGAGGGTTAATTTGTTAAACACCACAGTCAACAGAGGGTTAATTTATTACACACCACAGTCAACAGAGGGTTAAAAGCAATGAGGGACTCACCGTGCGATACATGACAAACTCATTCTTTCCAAACGGCTCCAGTTCAGTGGGCGTGGCCGCTCGCGAGAAGAAATTCTTCGGCTTAACGAGGAGGAAAAAGTCGTTGAAGAGGAAGCCGACAAGATCTCGGTTCCCTCGAATCTGCAAGTGAGGGGGCCAGAGGTGGGGGAATATTTACTTCATTTAAGGTGTCACGAAAATGCTTTTTGCAACCTCCTTTAATGCAGACACCAACGGGACAGAAGAGAGTTTCCATATTATCAGTGAGTGTCCTTATTTCAGGGGTTAAGTAAGAACTATTGCTGGTGGAAAGAAAAGGTGTCCGTATTAGAGAGGTGTCCTCATTTCAGGGTGTCCGTATTAGAGAGGTGTCCTCATTTCAGGGGTGTCCTTAGTAGAGAGGTGTCCTTATTTCAGGGGTTATGTAAGAACTGTTGCTGGGGTTAAGAAAAGGTGTCCGTATTAGAGAGGTGTCCTCATTTCAGGGGTGTCCTTAGAGAGAGGGGTTCCACTGCAACTGTGTTGCTAACATTGGGTGTACTGATGAGGGCGGGAAACGGTTATAAAACACTCGCCGATGGTTATGCTAAACATCCAGCTCACTACAGTTACCATGGCGAAAATAAAAGACGGTGCTAATGCATTCACAAATAATTATGTTATGTGTAATACTCTCGATCAAATGGCTCGCATATCTCACCAATTAGATCGAAAACTACACGCAGCCCTCCCTCCCCCCTCCCTCGCCTCCTCCCACAAACCCCCGCGAACTATACGTACCAAAATCACATTAACTCGATGATCTAAAGCTCCGAAAATGGCGAACCTCCACATAAAAAGACACCTCTCTGTAAACTAAAGAGCCAAGTTAGTCCTCATGCCCCATACTAATACCCTATGTACAAGTGTCAGAACCTCTCTAAGAGCCAAGTTAGTCCTCATGCCCCATACTAATACCCTATGTACAAGTGTCAGAACCTCTCTAAGAGCCAGTTAGTCCTCATGCCCCATACTATACCCTATGTACAAGTGTCAGAACCTCTCTAAGAGCCAGTTAGTCCTCATGCCCCATACTAATACCCTATGTACAAGTGTCAGAACCTCTCTAAGAGCCAGTTAGTCCTCATGCCCCATACTAATACCCTATGTACAAGTGTCAGAACCTCTCTAAGAGCCAGTTAGTCCTCATGCCCCATACTAATACCCTATGTACAAGTGTCAGAACCTCTCTAAGAGCCAGTTCGTCCTCATGCCCCATACTAATACCCTATGTACAAGTGTCAGAACCTCTCTAAGAGCCAAGTTCGTCCTCATGCCCCATACTAATACCCTATGTACAAGTGTCAGAACCTCTCTAAGAGCCAGTTAGTCCCTCATGCCCCATACTAATACCCTATGTACAAGTGTCAGAACCTCTCTAAGAGCCAGTTAGTCCTCATGCCCCATACTAATACCCTATGTACAAGTGTCAGAACCTCTCTAAGAGCCAAGTTCGTCCTCATGCCCCATACTAATACCCTATGTACAAGTGTCAGAACCTCTCTAAGAGCCAAGTTCGTCCTCATGCCCCATACTAATACCCTATGTACAAGTGTCAGAGACAGAAGAACTACACAAACCGGACGGGAGGGAGAGACAGAAGAACCAACTCTTGTTCTCCATTTTTCCATCCAATTTACCAGGTCAACTAATACATTAGTAATACTAATGGACAACTCTGAATAAAGGACACTTTCAATGTCCCCAAGGTGCCCCCCTATTCAGGGGTTCCACTGCACCTTGAACAATTTCCCCCAGTGCAGCAGCTTGCGCTGGCCCATGAAATTGGTCTGAGAGTTGAACACCAGTGTCTGGAGAATAGAGAGAGAAAAAGAAAAAACGAGCAAATGTGATACTGTATGTGTGGGTGGTGTGCAAATCAAGCCAACCTGTAGTTGCGTTTTTTTCTTCGTATTGTATGTGGTACAAATGTAACTTCTCAAGCACACTCGCTAGCAAAAAAATGTGAATTTGTTCGACGGTATAATATTTCACCTCGTCGAGACTGAACTGGACGTTTGTCTGAAGCCATTCCAGCTGCTCTGTGTTCTCCTTAGACCTCACGGCCTCGTTGACAGAGTGGCACAGTCTCAGGGACTCGTCCAGCGCTCCACTCAACTCCTCGTAGTCCATGTGGCCTTCTGGGGTGTAGTCCAGGATCTGTTGAGAGGGAGGGAGGAGGGACAGAGAGAGAGAGGGACGGAGGAAGTTGTGCTTGAAATCCTCAAATTTGAAATGGTTTAACCCCTTTACGTGAAGAATGACACAACATTTCACTCGCCAAAACTTCTGAATCAGGGATCGAAATTGTCTTTTATTGAGAGGTTCCTTTCAGACGTTGAACGGCATTACAGTACGTGTATATACGTACATGTGTCAACCACGAGGTAGAAAGGCAAAAAGGCACAAGAAATAAGTCAACTGCACCCAGGACAATCTTTTTACATGTGTACGTATGTAGGTAGAAAACGCACTCTCTGAATCAGAAGAGGGTATTTGGTGATCCGTTGCATCGGTTTCAGGAGAAAGGAGCTGAGAGGCAAACCAGCTGCCCGCGGGTCCTCGGAGCACTTCTGCTCAAACTCCTTGTACTGTGGGTCCGTCGTCTTGCTCTGGAGTAGGGTACACGCCGTGAGCTGGCAGCTGCACCAGCGAATGTGGGGGACGAGGAGAGGGATCTGCGTGTGGAGAATGTCGCCGATGGCTTTCACCACGGAGCCAGACGTCCGGAGCCGCACCAGGAAGGCACTGCGGCAGACGGAGAGAGACAGGTTGAGAAGAAGAGATGAGTGGAAAGAGAAAAGAAGAAGGGAGAGAGGGGGTTTTGGTCAAAAAAGAGAGGAAAGAGACAGCACGCCCACGGGGGAGAGTGAGGGAAATGAGGGAGGTCGGCAAAAGAAGAAGAAAGAGGGGGAAGAGGGGAGAAGAAGCAGGCGGAAAGAAAAGATAGAGAAAAGGAGAGGGGAGTAGGAGAAAGGGGGGTGACAAGAGGGAGTGGGGGAGTTTTTTGAAGACAGAGAAGGGACAGGGGGAGAGGAGAAAGAGAAAATGTCAAAGCGGCCAAAGAGAAAATTGTCCACGTATACACACGCATGCACGCTCCTCCGATTTCAAGAATGCAGGCTTACGAAATTCCCCATGCTGCCTAGAATCGCAGGCCGGAGCAAAACAGGAGGGAACAGCAGTGTCGGTATGTGACTGCGAGAGCCGTACACATGTAATTAGTGGAGTAAGAACAGTGGGGGAGTTGAAACCACCGTAGTACCGTTTTGTTTAGCCACGTCTGGCCTAGCAGTGATGTACATATATATGGGGAGATACATATAATTTTAGAGCAGTAGCGTCTTGTACGTACGATCGTAAAAGCGGAGGTTTATTGGTGAGAGGGCAACTGCTCCAAAAAAACGCGATGCATGCGAATTGGACGTGTTGCACTGTTCGGACCACCCAGTACAGACTAGTTTACCACATGTAACAATAGACCATGTGATGCCAAGAGAAAAAAGATGCGGAGCTCTGGACAGCTGTTTCGGGCTTGTTAGCCCTCATCAGCAAAGCATACCCAACTTCTCTCTCTGGCATCATGAGTTTATAAAGGCAGAGTTGAGCGCAGCACTTGTGGTTTTGAACTAACGAGATTCATCCCCACATGCACTATATAACAGAATGCCTACACTTGGAGACAATGATTTACACTACTCTTCACAAGACAACCAGCATCTTCCGGCTGAAACTAAGATACTTGCAAAACGTAAAAGATTCTCACTAACTTGAGCATGGCTCCGTTGCACAATATGAGTTCGTCCCAATTCACACGAACACGACTCATCTCCTCGTCAGTCAGAACACCGCTTCCAGCCATCGGCTCGAAGAACACCTGTGACATCATCGTGATGTAATCGGTAATGACGTAATGTTTTATGTCGTTGCGCGTGGGCGTACCTCTCGGACGAACTTGAGACTGTCTGTGTAGTTCCGTTCCGACGAGAGAAGTTCGAAGATGGCTTCTTGTCTCTTCCTCTCCGTCTTTGTGACACTAGCCAACACGTCTGGGCTCACCGACGCCGCCCCTAGCCATTATCACATTACGAGATCAACATGAGTCCCCAGACCGGACGACTCCGCCCCTCTCAATCCCCATAATTAAATCCCCCCTCTCGATTGCATCATTAGTTGCATCATTGGACGAAAAGCAGGGAATTCTTACAAAACCTTCATTTTCAATGATAGGTCTACATGTAGCAGATTTTTGCTTTACCTCTCCCCCCTCCCCCTTCTCCCCCCTCCCCTCTCCCCTACTCTCCCCCTGTCTGGACTGACAAAAGTGAAATGCTCCCATCAAATCCTCATTATCACAAGATATCAGTTACACCGTCTAGCGTAAGTTGAAACACAGACACCGCAATTGGTTTTCACTTTCAAAGAGCACAGAGGTCACATACATACGACAACTAAACGGTAGATGACAGTCTCGTGTGAAGAAATTACCAAAATGTGTACAGTGTTAAGTTATGTCCCACTGCGCCCATTGTGTATATAGCACACTACAATCTCACCAACTCCCCAAGCAATTCACACCATTTCCATCCAATGACTGATACCCACCACTCACCGGCGCTACTCCGGCCAGGCGCCCCAGCTGCTCACCCACGGTTCTAATTACGGGAGGTCTCCCGTTGCAAACAGCTGCAGTTGCCATTGGCAACCGGTACCCTCCCCCCTACACCGCATGGGAAAACAACAACGCTCTGAAATTCAATGTAATTACATAAGCTGGGATACGACACATCCATACTTAAGTTGCCGGGGGAACTGGTAAATCTCTTGGATTCACCCACCATTAGCGTAAACGTCCACATTCACAGAGGTGTATATGAGATGGTGTCCTGCTACATTTGCCCCAAACCCCTATAGAATGACACACCCGGGTGTTTACTATTAAGGTTGCCGGGGGCAACTTACATCTTGTGGCCTCGACTGCCGTCAGATTCTCGTTGAGTGGCTGGACGTAATTAGATGGGAAGAGGCCGACGGCCTCATTCAGCTCTCCTTTCCACCAGTCCCCTTTCTTTGACAGTACCGTGATCACACTGCCCTTGTGGAAGGTGAGTTCGTCGCCGGAGACTGCGGTGTACGTGTAGAGAGCCAGGACGAGGTTCTGAGAGAGAGCGCCTGGGTCCGGCGGGTCCAGGATGTCGATCAGCGGCTGTCGGGGGAGAGGGGAGAGATGGAGGCAGCGTAGTCAGGGGAACAGAGAGTGAGAGAGATGTAACTTACTGACAAAAACATTTTTCGTCGATTGATGACACAAAAGGGGAAAAATAGAGTGAGAAAGCAACTTACACTTCTCGCTCTCTGAGTTCCTAGTACACCACCTGTAGCTCCCCCAGCAACCCCGGTTGGCTGTTGTTGCCCCGATGACGGTTGCCCCGACGACGGCGGAGGGGGTGTGGTGTTGGCGACGTTGGCCTTCTTCTGCAGGAGGTCCACGTGGTCTGCGGGGAACCAGCCGGTCTGTCTGGCCTTGCCTCTGGTCTGGAGCTCCCCAAACCACCACCCACTGCCTGTCTGCTTCGATACCTTATCACAAACAAACAGAAAACAACAAACAATAAACAATAAACAAGCGTGTGGTATACGAATACACACATATTGGTATGTTTTTAAATGCCCCACCAAATCATAGGCAATCGATTGAGCACAGCAAGCTTTTGGGGCATCAAAGTCTAATAAACAAAGCCCAGGATATCAAAGTGTAGGAGCTGAGGTATACACAAAATTTGACTCACAAAAATGAACAGCTATATATACATACTTTGATGTACTGTCCAGCTTTTCAGGGTGAGTTCGGTGCCCTTTGTTGCCTCGTACGGCTGCGTCACCCGGGCAACCAGCGGCTTTGCATGCGTCGTCACGGAGACATCGGAGGCGAGGCTGGAGAGGGAGGGGGAGGGGGAGGGAGGGACGGCAGACCCACGAGAGGGGAGAGAGGAGGAGGGAGAGGAGGGGCGCCTCTCTAGCTCCACAACATGAGGCTCCACATAATTTGCGGGAAAGGCTCCAAATTTTCCGTTCAAACCTCCTTTCCACCAATCCCCTTCCTTACTTGTCACCTGTGTGGGAGGACATAGAAATTTAGGCCAGAAAAATTTACCAGGCTGTAAGAATGTGGAGACGTCCATACAAATTTTTAATGGATTACCTCAATGATGTCGCCGGCTTTGAACTGGAGGTCGCCAGGTTCACAGCTATCGTAGTCATAGAGACCGCAACACAGCTCCTTGGTAACCAAGGTTGATGATGAGGGAGTGGGTGTGGCTTCTGGCGAGGGCTTTGCTTGAGCCGAGGAAGGTCTGACGAGGTACAAAATGAATCGTTCTATTATTTTGCCTCTCATTTCTCTCAACTACTGCACATGCATGTAAGCACGGACTCTGGCAAACAAATAATTATTGTAGGTTCAAGTTGAGAATCAACACATTGTTCAAGTTGCGAATGCACTTCGCCACACATTGACCGGCTCTTTACTCAACACATCAGTTCAGATTTTGACTCCAACATTTACAATTATGATGTGATGATATGTACATGTGGTGAAAATGAAGGTTTTCTCTACTGTTTCTCTACTAAAACACTATGCATTGGATTTGTACCGCGCTAAGACCGCAAATCAATCGGAGAAAATCAACATGGCATCCTCAACACGAATGGACTATAGTCGTTTGTGATTTTATATATACATATGACATAATAATGCTTTATGAATTCAGGCGAAGTTTTGCACTTGCGTGTGCAAGCTAATAACCCACTGTACTAGTTCTAGTGCAGTCTCTATCTACGCATTATTCTCTCTCTTTCAACTTACTGAGATTCAGTTCCTGTCTTCCCCACACCTCCTCCCTCCTCCTCCTCCTTCTCCACCACCGGTTTCACAAACGTCTTTGGAAACCAACCCACCCTCCCCTCTACCTCCCCCGACCACCACTTCTCTCTCTTGCTCAAGACTCTGACAAACTGGCCCTTCTTAATGACGAGATGGTTGTCCTTCGATCCCTTCCAACTGTACAGAACTTTGGCTTTCTCTTCGGGAGCAGCTGTTTTAGGAGGAACAGCAAATACAGGGGGAAAGACAGCAAAACATAAGAGTAGGAGGAGAGGGGGGGGGAGAGGGAGGGAGAGGGGGGGTAAGGAAAGACGGAATACAGACAGATGAAATTTTGCCAACCTTATTTCTCACGTTATGTAGCTATGTATTATATGTAACCTAACCTTGTTCTACATCTCCACTGGCAGCAGCTAGTTTCCTCTCCAAGCTGCTGTCCCTCTTTTTTTCCACCTCTCCCCCTCCTCCCCCCTCTCCACCCGTCTCCTCCAAATACGCCTCTGGAACGAGACCTCGTTGACCTCTGACCTCAACCAAGAGCCACCCGTTGCTAGGTAACTCTCCTGGTATCCCATCGACGAGGTCGCCTTCGTTGAGCGAAAGCTCCGTCTCTTGTTCGGCTGTGAACGAGTACAAAGCCCTGAACCTAACTCCACGTGTCGTCGCAGAACTTCTAGCGTCCGTAGACTCTGCGTCTGGTCGTCGTGGAGACGGTGGTTTAACACCCTCGCCCCCAGGTTGATTGGCAGCTGATTGGATATTCTCCCACGACCCAGAGAGAACCTGTCCGCCAGATTCGCCAGACGTTACCAGGGGCGATGCGGAAACCCTCTTGGGACTGCTAGTAGTCAAGGGAAGAACAGAAGTTGTTGGTCTGGCCGAGACAATTAGCACCGTTTGAGCGGCTGGAACCTGTTCACTGTCGCTCTGCGTTACATCTTCTTTCCCGACAAGGACCCAGTCTCTAGGAGGGGGAGACACCGAGGCAGTTGGGCCCAATCTCCGCCCGCCAAAGTCCAAACTCGACCGCGTCTTTGTCCTATCCTTGTTGACTGTGGCGTATAGCGGTTCTAGATTGGTGGATAGTGCCTCAACTTGACTCCCGGTCACGGTGGGCTTTGCTTTATCGCCCACTGCCGGGTTCACCCGTGCCTGTCCCGATTGGATTCTGGGTCGCGCAGTTGGTGGATTGGTCGGCGAGCCTTCGCCGCTCGACTCTGTCGGTTCGGAGCCGGCCCTCTGGGGCTGTAAGGGGTTAAACAAGCTCTGGGGGTTAGGGACGAATCCGCTGCGCTGTCCGCTGGTGTCAAACGAAGACTCGATGTCGAGGAGAGGTGCCGGGGCGGCAGTTGGAACGGAGCCGCGTTTCTTCTTGTCCACGTTGTACGGGGCTGGCTTTGGAGGTCTCTGGGGAGGGAAACAAGGTTGGAGGATTGGATTAAAGAGGGAGACGTATAATTATAGAGGGAAGAATCCTTTGTGATGTGGAAGGTTACTAAAAAATTTTTATGACCAAAAAATTTCATTTTGTAATCATGGAAATACATATTTTTAGTGAATCTGTCTTGCTGACTGGCAAATTGTGCTGGAACTTTTTTGAAAATTTGTTTTTTAAGTGTGATTTGTCACAAATTTGTAAGTTTACCTTCTGCTGCTTTTCGAGCTCTTTCTTCTTTTCCTTCAACTCATTCACCTTCTTCTTCACCTCCTTCTCCTTCTCTTTCTCCTTTGCTTCCTTCTTCCCCTTACCCCCCGGTGCGGCAGCCGCATTAGTAGAGCCAGCAACCGCTGCTTGCTCCTTTTTCAAAATCACCGCCAGCTTCTGTATCGCTTCGCTGGCCGGAGAAAACTGGTACGGAGCAGGTTTTACCGGTTTTTTATTGGGTCGTGGGACCGGAATTGGCGTGGTCGAATCGTGAGTGGGCGTGGCCTGTTGCGGTGGCGACGGCGAAGGAGATGTCGTTCCCTTTTTCAGCAGCTGAAATAATTAAACCAACAAATAACGAACTAGATATCACATGATGGAGAGGGTCAGCACTCTTCCGAAACGTACCCTGTTCAATTCAGCAGCTTGCTTTGCCTATTGAAAAACAGAATTGAGATCAATAATTATTATGTTCTCTATTTTAGCGAGCACATGGAGGGAAGGATAGGCCAACAACCCATCCAAGATTTCGTTACTGATTTAACCCCTTTCACCTTCTCTTCCTGAGCCCGAGTCTCCCTGGCAACCCTTAGGGCCTCCGCTTGCTCCCTCTTTATCCTCTCCTCTCTCTCCCTCCTCTCTCGTCTCTCCCTCTCCTCCTTCTCCTTCCTGTCCTTCTCCTCCTTGAGCCTCGCTGCCTCTCTCCCCCTCCTCTCCCTCTCCTCCCACAGAGACCGATGGTGGGCAACCTGCGCCTTGAGGTTCGAAGATTTAGCAGTACTCTTTTGTAGCTCCGTCTTCAAATTCTACAAAAACAGACGGAGGGAAGGAGGGAGGGAGGGAGAAGAGAAGGATGGAGGAGGGAGGGAGAGAGGTTCAAACTACACATACACGCACACAAATAACTCACAGACAACATCATTTCGTTGTTGTTCATCAGATCCCTCTGCTTCTGGTATGCCTCTGTTCCAGACTTTAGCGTGGAACGGAGACCGGCCAGCACAGCTGCCACTCCCATTATTCCATCTTGGTACACCTGCAGACACACGCAAAACCAGTCCAAAACCTGTCCATACAGCTCAGATGCAAACCAATATGACAAATAGCGGCAAAATTTTTTTATCCTAGCCATGAAATTTTTATGTGAATCATAAAAATGCACATGGTACTGCCTAAATTTATAACGTGTGGGTTCACAAAAACCCAATGTACTGTATATAAGACAGAGCATGAAGAAGAGGGGAAAGAGAGGGAAATGAGTCGTACTTGTCTCTCTCTCTGGTACTGGTGCGACTGAGGGTTGCGTGTCTGGAGTGAGGCTTGCAGCTGTGCTCGCTGCGTCGCCAGGGACGACAGCTTTGATTGTAGACCCTGCAACAAACATTACCACACAACCGCGATGGCCACTACACATTTCGGGTATTTTGCCTCAAATAGGATCATGTGTACATGCATTAACTCAGTTCTACACAAAAATGTGTTTCACAGCAATATAATATTATACACCTCCAGAAAGAGCAAATTAGTAATTAGTACGCCTTAAACTTTGCCAAATCAAATTTTCATAGTAAATATACGGTACAAGAGATGCGGACCCACTCACCTGCAGTTCGGTGCGGAGTTTGGTGATCTCCGTTCTCTTGATCTCGTCTGACAGCCGTATGGAGCGAAGTACGGCTCTCAGTTCACTGCAGAGGCTACTCTGTCGCTGGACGCTGTCCCTCGATGCCACCTTTTCTTGGTCCTGAGTGGAGGTGAGGGGGGAGGGAGAGAGAGGGAGTAATGTGTCACTGCAATTGGTACGTATATGCATACACTACTATAATTATAATTCATTTTTTGGGCACACTCTATTTGGAAGAAAAATGTCAGTGAATTGTACAAATTTCATTAAGTTAAGGACCCGTGACATTTCATTAACACACTTTAACTATCGAATGCACGTTACATTGCGTTCTGTTAAAGAAGAGTGTACTAACATACACGCTACTTTAACAAAACGCAATGTATGTATGTGCATGTAGAAGGTGTGCAGCGCAATCAATGGAAAAGGTGGCCCAATTTTTTCGTACTTTTAGCGAGCACATGAAAGAAACGAGATGCCTACCAACCACCCAAATTACCTTCACTATAGCCAGAGGATGCAGCGCGATCATTGTCAATATTAAAAAATTATACAGGGCGGCCTAAAAATCTTGGGAGAAAGGACGGGCCGTGTAATAGGAGTGTATGTATGTACCAATTGTTGAAGCTCGTTCTCAAGGTTCGAGTGCTGACTCTGCAGCGCTCGCAGCGTCTTCATCTCCCACTGTTTAACCCCTTCCAGCTCAGCCTGCCTCCGTCGCGCCCACTCCTCCTTCCTCCTCCTCTCCTCTTCCCTGAGCTCGGCCTCTCGCTGCTCTGCCAGCCTCGCCAGTTCCCTCTCTCTCTCTCGCTGAATCTCCAGCGACCGTCGGTTCTGCCTCTCCAACTCCGCTTGTCTGCGCTTCTCCGCCTCCATTCTGAGAGGGTTAGAGGTTGCTTTTATTTCGTCTCTCTTTTCCTATCTTTATAATACTCCTTTTTTATTAGAGGGTAATCATTGTTTAGAGAGTTTGGAGAAATAATTTTGCCCCTAGCTCCACAAAATGTGGAACTCACGCAACAGCATGCTGCACCATAAATCTTTCACTTCCACATCATGCAGATTATTACTGCCACTTTGACAAACTAAGGTACACTCGTTTCCATTTGTTTCTTCTTCTCCCCCTTTGCCTCCATCCCCACTCTCCCTCTCCCTCACTCTTGGGCTCTCCTCTGCTCTTCTTCCTGCCTCCGCTTCCTCTCTTTCTCGGCCTCTTCTCTCTCCTGCTTCTCCTGCAGGGCCCGTCTACGTCGCTCCAACTCCTGCCTCCCTTCGTCGAAATTCTTTCTCATCTTGTCCTCCAACGTCATGCCCGTCCTTGACGGAGTGTTTGCTGCTGCACTGCTGACAGACGACGAGGGACCAGTTACTCCATCTTTCTGTGACGATGCCCCTGTGTGAGAAAGAGGCAGAGAGTTGATTTTCAATGTTGCTGAAAGCAGGACAGAGTCAGAGACAGAGAGTGAGTGGATATTAGTGTGTGTGTGTGTTTGTGTGTTTGTGTGTTTGTGACTGGGGAAAGAATTAAAGAGAGAGAGTGTGTGTGTGTGTCTCCAATCCACACCAGTAGGGAGGAGTTCGGGAGGGAGAGTGACTGGAAGAGTGAGTCCCTTCTTTGCCTTCTCAATGAGGTGCATGGCAATGCCAAACTCTTCCAGAGAGAGACGGCCATCTTTGTCGACATCTGCCAGCGCCCTGGGGTGAAGTGAAAACGAGAAACGGAAGAGGAATTCCTCGCATCAGTTCCTATGGCATTCGGGCGAACACGCATATATTACAATCAGCCTTTCTCAATTGCTACGTACAAACCCTTTCTTCGGACACTATTACGGGTGAACAAACTCCTTTGCAATGGTATTGTTACAATTATTGTAGAGTACAATTGCTCTGCCTACTAAAATTCATGGATATAGCTTTTACATCGCTAAGTTTCCACTCTGTCCTTGCTTTTGTCTTTCATCACTCACCAAATCCTAGCAAGAACAGCTTGTTCAAGGCCCGACTGGTTTAAAACCGGCCTGACCTCCATCCCAGTCAGGTGCCCAGTCTTTGACCTGTCCAGGGTCCCAAACTGCAGTCCGTAACGACGTCGTTCTGCCGGAGTAATCCCCCACCCCTCGGTTACCGTTCCCAAGGAAACGCCAAGCCCAACTCCGCCCACTTGGGGAGATTGCGCAATCATCGGCACGGACTGGCTGAGAGATGGGTCCAGTGACTGTATCGGTTTTAACCCCACATGGCCCTGCGGAAAATTTAACTCTCTAAGTACTCTGGACTATGTTTAACCTTGGCATAATGTTAAAAAACACAATTTCTACTGGCCACAATAAGCTGACACATTATTGATCACGAGACTAAATTTAACTCTTTCAACTCTGCACTATATTTAATAAATCTCCTTTAGCTCTGTAATCTCCCACTCACACTTCCTCTCCCTCTGGGCCACTGAAGCGACATTGTCTGCTGCTGTTGAATCTTTGCCTGTCGTATCGCGGCCATGGCGGAACAGAACTCGGACACGTTGATGCACCCGTCTCCGTCCCCATCCGCCATCCTCCTGGAACGGAACCAGGACACAGTGTAATTTCATGGTCACCACTATTTCACGCATTTGAGGGTTGATTTCACGCATTTGTGGGTCTCTTTGTGCTTTTTGCGATCTTGAATTTGCGACATTTTTCCACCATCAAAGCTATCCGTGCCAGCGCTTACATTACTCCCATAGAAACAGCTGCATCTGTTATACAGAGTTTGTGTTGAACTACATAATGTAATGTCTGATACCAGATATGGGCCAGTTGCTGCTGAGGCAGTCCCGACGCTTGGAACATGTTCTTTACTTGGGAACCTATGTACACAAACACCACACCAAACACCACACCACACACCACACACACACCACACACACACACAACAATATGCATTAGAGAGTGGTAATATAATGGGCGGTCAAATTATCGAGGGGAAAACTCTAAATGTTCAAAGTCAAGAGCCGCACTTCCCCCTTATGCTCCTGCAGATATCCACACAGCTATATAAGACCCCTTTCATGATAATACACTTTTCTCGCAGCATTATAATTACACGAGGCCACGTATTTGACACAATACTCACCAGAAACTTTTCCGTTCACGGGAAAGAGTGTGGCAAAGACAGCCTCGTCTCTTTGCCTCTCTCCCCCTCCTCCCCCTCCTCCTCCTCCCCCAAAGGGCACACCTGAATCAACACAGAAATCACTGAAACACCTACGGACATGTGTATCCTCGTATATACCAAGGAGTCAGCTGTTCATCCTTTTGTACACGTACATAGTCATACACCACCCTTAGCACCCCCGCGGGACGCTACGCCCTTTTTCTCGGACAGTTCGCGTCCGTATCGCGACTCACCGCCTCTACCAAGAGACCAGCTGCTGTAAGACATGGCCACGGGGCCGTCTCCTCCGTGTCCGATCCTCTTCGGCCCAAGATACTCGTCCGCTACACCGTAGTCCGCTGATGAAAGGTTCAGGGAGAACGGACGGACGGCACACACTCCACTCGCAACGTCGCGAGAGCGAGTAGGTATAGTTGGCCGTTGAACCCGATCTGTTTTCCGGTGCTAGTTCCAATTCTGCAATCACGACGTCGTCACAAGACTGAGACGACGACGCCGGTGACACCCGTTTTCGTCAAGAAGGGAGGCGAGATCTGAGGGGACATGTTTCGGAAGAAAGATCCAAAAGGTGAAAAATCACGCACCTAGCCTGGCTCTAGCTCTAAGAATGAGCTGCTCAATGTCTGGGACTGTGATTTTCACGTTTTGACTGTGGTTTTGTGGACTTGTGTTTAGAGGCGATGAGAGCTCAGCAGCGGGAGCTGAAAAAGACGAACAGGGAGCTGGAGAGGGACAGAGGCAGCCTGGATCGGCAAGAAAAGCAGCTGGTATAAGAGACAAGATAGATAAAATGTAGAGGCTTTTCTGAGGTGTAGTCTTGACACATGTATAATATAACTGTAGGAAGCTGAAATCAAGAAAGCTGCCAAAAGAGGAGATAAGCAGGTGAGTTGTCATCATCATTGTGTCTGTCTATATACTTGTTGTCCATGGCACTGGTGCTAAGGCTGCCACATTCTATCTTGTTTGCTCTCTCTTTCTCCTTCCTCTCACCGCTGTATCTATCTTTCTCCTCCTCTCTCTCTTCTCCTCTTTTCCCACACAGGCAGCTACCATATATGCCAAGCAGCTGGTGAGAATGAGACAGCAGAAAGCCAAGTCGCTTGGACTTAGCTCCACTATCACCTCCACTGGGCACCGAATGCAGGTCAATCCCATTTCACAACGGGACAGTCCCGTTCCCCGATCAACCAACAGGCTACACCGCTATTCTTTGCACACCACAGGTGATGCAGAGTCAGGCGAAAATGGCGGGAGCCATGGGCTCTACTGCAAAGACAATGGCAGCTGTCAACCAGCAGCTGAAAGTTGAAGACATTCAGAAGACGATGATGAACTTTGAGAAAGAGTCGTCAAAGATGGAAATGGCCGGAGAACTGAGTAAGCTGATGCTATAATACAGTGGAACCCCTCTAATCAGGACACCAATGGGACAGAAGAAAGTGTCAATTATTAGTAAAGTGTCCTTATTTCAGCGGTAGAATTGCGTGCAAGAACTATTCTTGGGGAAAGAAAAGTTGTCCCTATTAGACAGGTGTCCTCTTGCGTCCTTAGAGACAGGTTGTATACATGTTTTTCACCACATTCTTAAATCGGTTGGCCCGTTTGGTGATGCGTATATATGTTTTACTTTGTGTGTGTCTCAGTGGACGATGCAGTTGAAAGTCTATTTGACGATGACGAGGAGGAGGAAGACGCCGTCATTAGTCAGGTAATAATAATCATTCCGCAAGATCCAGGTTTCTTGATTCCAAGTTTCAAGGATTAATTTTTTCGCTATTGCATGCCGAGTGACCACTCCCACCAATAGTGTGCAGATGAGATGGGTTCCACTGTTGTATATACAATGGACAGCATACTCTGGACATGCCATGCTTTCTGCAGGTTCTTGACGAGATCGGCATCGACGTACAGCAGAAGCTCTCCGGAGTGGGCGTGGCTAACAGTGCGTTGCCGGAGCAACGGCGGACAAAGGTCGGCGCCGACACGTCAGACATTGAAGCAAGACTGAGAGAATTACAGAATCCATAGCAACCACTTTTTTGGCACGCGCTTACTTGTATATACTTCATCAATCTACATGTACTTTTTACCACACAAGTAATTATCATTATCCACTTACAGAATTTAATTTTTTAACCTCAAAATAAATTGTCTAATAATACAAAAGGTTTTTACAGCTTCAGCATAAATACTAATACAACTGCTTCTATTATGAGGTGTAGATATAGTAGAAAAGTATTACGGATGTGTTAGTGGTGGTAAATTGTATGTGAGTTCAGTGTTTTTCCTCTACTAGTTGGCTTTGGTCTTCGTGGGTATGTGGGCATCCCACGCCTCTGCCCAAATCTCACCACTTTCCTTCAGAGATCTAAAAACAAAAACAACCAGAATCTAAGACTGAGTTTGCGAGTTTTGTAAGTGTGTTTTTTGTAATTCAACAGCTATATAGTGTTGCGCCCAGACCCCGCCTCAAAGCAAGGTCTGGTGACTATTCAGCGATTTCTCAACTCCCCCCGCATCATATTTAATAAGACCATGCCCAAAAAGGCTCATTTTCATTTTGTAGATATTTGTGGCTGCCTTACATTGTACTAACACTATAGTCTCATCTGATTCAGTGCCTCAAGAATTTACTCAACAACACAACTAAGAACTCGTCAATTTCAAGTGCAACCGCCAAACGTAAATGTCAGTCAAATTTTTCGGTTTGCATGTGCTATGATATACCTGACGATGTCACCAAAGGCAGTCCAGATTGGCTTCTCCTGGTAGTCCAAGTTGTACTTCTTGCAGTATTCTATCACGTACGGTTTGGCCTTCAGGAAGTTGTGCCGCGGCATTGTTGGAAACAGGCTGGGCGAGAACGGCAAATTAATAGGGAAGGGAAATGAATTTTGGAACTTTTGTGAATTTTTAGGGGTTTTGAACAAGTTTCTTGTTGCAATTTATTCACTGTATTAGGAGTGGACAGCATTATAGTGTGCTGAGAGAGAGAAGGCGGTGAAAAAAGTGTATGTAGTTGACTTACTGGTGCTCAATTTGAAAGTTGAGGTGACCCAAAAACCAGTCATTCATGAACGACTGCTCCACATTTCTAGTTCCCGCCAACTGTGTGAACAATTATCGACCTCCCTATAACACGCTGCTGGTCCCGTGTGTAAATGTGTACATGTCCAGAGCTCCGCATCTTTTTTCTCTTGGCATCACATGGTCTATTGTTACATGTATATAATATACCTGGAGTGACGGCCAGTCCTGTCTGTGGTCCAGGTCAATGTTCATGGGAATGTGACTGATCTGAGTGGCCCACACAAACCAGTGGCTCTCCATAAACCTACATTAAAAAAATACAAAAACTCCTCTCTAATTAAGGACGCCACTTTTACTTCAATAAGGACACCTCGCTAATTTTACCTTCTCATTAATATTCTGATTAGAGGGGTTCCACTCATGTGTTCAAGACACCTTTTAAGAATCAGAAATTTTATAGCCAGTGGCCCAACTCTGACGCACCTGATGAAGAAATAGAATCTGAAACTGGGCCAAAAGCCACCGAGAAATGGCGCGAAGGTGTAGTGGAATATCATGTAGAAGATCAACATGCAGGCGAAATCCTGAAGAGAAGATATTCACACGGTAACAGTTGAAAAGAGAGGGTGGGAGGAGGGAGGGAGGGAGGAAGGGAGGAAGTGAGAGAGGGAAGAAAGGGAGAGGAAAGGAGAGGAAAGGAGGGAGGCAGAAGGGAAGGAAGGAGATAGAAGATGCGCTCACAATCCACTTTCTCTTCTTGAGGACGTAGAACAGAACCTCAACGTGGAAGTAGATGGGTAGCAGCAGTGGTGGTCCAACTAAACAAACAGGACAAAAATTTGAGGAGATGAAATTTTTAACGGTTAGCTCACTCAGAAAGAAGTAGTGTTGCTGAAAGTTGTAAGGCATGGTTCCCCATCTCTTCTTGCCCCACTGCATAAATGCACATTGACACACTCAAAATTTCAGGGTTTGTAAAAATTCTCACCTTCTCTGGGATGATCTTTCCGAGCAGCACAACATATGGTATGGTGATATCAGGATCCTTTAGGTACTGCATCAAAAACACACACACACAAGTCAGACTTGTATCACCGTCACTTTAATTGAGTTGTACACTAGGTATATAATATATATACACAGATGAAGGTGTCGACATAATTTCATAGATATTAAGTGGATAAACAAAGAACATTCCTCAAAACACATCAACAGGAGTATATATTAGCAGCTTCTTTGCACAATATTGGTAGTGCAATGTTAAATTTTGCATCCGGCAAGGCCTTTACACGCATCTCCAACCTCAAAACTTGGCTTACGTAAGAGGGATTGTTAGCTAGCTATAAGTATAGAGAGATTCAGTTGCTAAAATGTAAAATTGTATGTTCTCCAGTAGAACTACGTAAATACCCCTCAACAGTACTTACCACATTGGGTTTGGCGTGGTGCTGGTAGTGTCTGTAGTTCCACCAAAAACTGGAAACCCCTTTCATCAGGCCGATGACGACGTGGTGCAGGGCTCTGTTCAAGTTGATTACGTCGAAGACCGTGTGATGACCGAAATCATGCTGCAGCCAACCAGCTTGAGCCTTGTGGGAGGAGAACAGGGGGGGGGAGGAAAGAGAGAAAGAAAGAGAGGGAAAAAAGAGAAAAAGAGAAGGAGAAAGAAGGAGAAAGAGAAACAAAATAATAGTGAAAAGAGAAACAAGAGAGGGTGAGTACATCATGCCCAAAGCACATGCAAGGTTACACTCCACGAACTAATTCACCTGCTGATGGTCTCCGATGACATGTTAACGCGTGAATGAATAACGTTAAAACTCACCTGAATTTTCCACCCGCCCCACTTGTCTCCAAAACACACACGACACCTACACTGACCATGATTGAGCTTTTTCGATCAACAGTCAGGCAAAACACTGCCTATCTCTCCAAAAAAATCCTAGGTCTGACCCATACACTTGGCTATACTTCAGCAAAGTTATCAACAGCCCATATTATCCGTATGGTAATGCACTCACTTGTGAGACGGTGGTAAGGGCAGCAGCAGCTAGCCACGTAATCCAGTTGTTGCCATAGTACCACAGTGTCCCCCAGGCCGCGAAGCAGAAGAGGACAATGTGGAGGAAATGAGCAACGAAAAACAGAGGGTTGGTCTTGAAAAATCCCTGACAGGTGAGGCAAAAATTCTCCAATATTAAATTCTTTCACCTATTTTTGGAATTGGATACCTTTGCCTCCATTTTGTCCCGAAGGGTCAAGAAATCTTTCTCTATCGGCTGGAGCTGTGGAACAAATATCGCCATAAAACAGTACAGGTTGGCATGGAGTATAATAATATAATATACCTCTTTCTGCTCAGGGCAGATTTTTCCAATGTGGTACTGCGCAAGATACTTTCTGACCATCGCTTTGTTGTGATGGAAGCTGGTCCAGGCAAGCTGCATTGGGGTGGGCAAAAAAGCAGTGACGGAACCAACAAGATCGTGCGATTTTGCAGTAGCTTTATACCCGCCACCGACATTAGAACCCCTGCGTGGACGGAGCGTTTCAAGCTCTATGTTCGGCTGGTGTCCAACGCGCTCAGCGGCGTTCGCAGCAAGGAAGCTTACGGTCGCATCCTGGCCGGCGTAGTGCATTATGAGGCGAGCACCGCCGGGGTGTTTGCCGAGCCATTTGGTGACGTCGTAGACTTGTCCGTGAAGTATGACCCAGCAGTCGGTGCTCTTCTTGTGCTGGGCCACCTCCTCCCGCGTGTACGAGGGGAGACCGTCTTCTGGTACCTGTGGCGGTGACATCGTATCCGCGCCTTCTTCCCGGCGGCCGAGCGAAAGGGCCGAAATGCAACGATTTACGCATGCGCGCAGATCACGCTCCGCGATCATCACGTGACATTAATCATACTAGTATACGGAGGAAAACGGACGTATACGAAAGGTGACGATTACTTATACAGTGTGGCTGTAAATTACAATATGTAAGGTTCATTTGTGGTGGGGCTAGGAAGGCACAACTTCAAGTAGAGCCTTGACCTGAACTTTTAGAGACAGCAATCTCTTTCCCCTGTAAGGAGTGCTGGTGAAGAGCACAAAGTCGACTATAATAACACAGCTCACGATTCTTCAAGGACGATGGATATGGTCTGGCCTTGTGTGTTGCTCAGTTTAACAGTTTCCGTGCCATCTGCCTCCCCGTAGCCCAGCTTCAGTTTTCCCCTTAGCCTTCAGAGAAAGTAAAACATCCAAGTGAACACACTTTATAGAGGGCAATGACCCCTCTCATAGTGAATGCTAATTGCATATCACTGCGTGCGTTTAAGCAGACCCAGGTCAAGCAGTTCCAGGTCTCATTGGTCTCGATCCCTTATGTACGAAGGCTTAACCCTGGCCGTTTTGACCATCGGCACTCGATATCCTCGCCGACATAAGCATTGAACAGTGGAGACTTTCACTAGCACTCTGTAGTTTTGCTTTGTTCCATAAGTGGCCGAATGACCCCAAAATCATTTTCACTTCAGGACACACCATTCTGTTTATACACGATAACCCGGTTGAGAATCCTGAGGCCACTGTATAATGTGAAGTCCTTTGGGTTGGTCACTCAGGAGTACCGGCGATGCATACACACTCTCACTTTCAATGCCCCCGAGGGGCTCACTGCAACATACTTTGACGAGTGAGATGTTCCTTGTACGTCTTGTCTGGCCCATAATCCTAGGAACAATTTGGGAAGAACGCTTATTGAGTCGCATCACTTTGATAACCTCTGCACGTAGCATGGTGTGACTGTACTCAGATCTGTCAGGAGGATAGGATTCCTAACGGCGTGTTCCAGGTAGACCAGGCTGCACAGACTAGCTCAAATGTTGCGATGGCGTGTCAAATATCCTAGTGAGGACAGCAACGCGGGATGATGCAGTTGCAACTTAACTGGGCATAAGACCGCCCCATTTTGGTCCTACAGCAAAGAGATGTAGTTTGTCGAACTCGGCGACATCTTGCTGCGCAGCTAGTAAGAGTTTCGGCCGGCCAATCACTTCGTCGCTACAGTAGACCAAGAGGTCAGACGAGCCACTCCAGCGCCTCAAGCGCCTCTCGCTTCCCTGGTGTATCTCTCAGTCATCGATAGTAGGCGACTGTCCAGCGGCCGTGAGTCTGCACGCCTGACCAACGAGCGCCCCGACGCGTCAGCCTGATGTCGAGTCCCACACGCCCTGAATGCCCCGAATGATCCTTCGCCCAGCACCCTGTCGGCTTTCCCATACTGTCCACATGCGGCGACTATCTGGACATCGAGCATAGTCCGAATACAGATTCATTAGTCGCTCTGGTGGCCCCGGTGTCCTCTCGCAGAAGCTTCAGCGCGCGCCAGCGTGTCAGGCGTGACCCGACGTAGGTCCCCTTCGCCTGTCTGGTCGGTCTTGGAGCGCGCGATGTACACCAGTCCGCGGCGTCATCTCAGCATCGAGCACGTCACGACTACCACCTGAGGTCGGCTGCTTCAGAGATACGCAGCCCGCCATCCGACAGTACGGACGCCAGTGCAATGTCATACCGACCGCGCCTGAGAGCAGTATCCTCCCTCTCAGCGAGCCGCCGCCCCTCGACTTTCGGAGTGAGCGCCGTTGCCTTGACTGCGGCCGAGAGCATCAGCGTCCAGCGCTCTCGCCTGCTTCTCGGCTGACACCTAACTAGCCGGGACGTCCTCTCAAGGTTTCAGTGTACACCGGTAGTCTGAGGGGATTCCATGGCCACGCTCGCGTGTGCGTCAACGATACGCTGCGACCGCAAGCCGGATCGTGGACATGCTCTTCCAACGTCGGCTAGCTCCCGCATAGGCAGCAACTACCTCCTGCTTGAGCCGGGCAGCGCTGACTGATCTTCATTTTCACACCATGGGCAGGAGGTGGAATATTGCCACCGAATCGACCAGGTAGTATTGATGAGGCAGAAGCTGATGAAGGCAATACACAGCCAGGTCCGCCGCGGCGAGCATCGGACATTAGCGAGAGGTCGGTGCGGAACTGGAATAAGGGACCGTTTGCCGTCGGAGAAGAAGGAGGAGAAGGAAGAGTACGAACGTGACCCGTTCGCCGCGTGTGGGGCGGAGGAAGTAGAGCCTATTCTCGAGCGGATGTGGACCGATACTCGACAGCGCCTACTGTTCTCGATGTTGGACGAGCGGCAATCCCGGGGCGGTTCAACGCAACGTCTGCGCTACTCTGTCAGAGGCGTATGCGTGACTGGCGCGCGCTGAACGGTCCCCTGATCGTGAGGTGTACTCGAGCAGAAGCATCCACCTGGCCGTGAGGCGCAGATGGACTTCATCACGCACTGCGACAGTCTGAAGGTGACGATAGGCGATAGGCCGTTTGCGCATATGGTTTTTTGTTTTTTTTTTTTTTTTTTTCGAGTTCATACTGAGTCATTCGGGCTGGAGCTACGCGCAGTTAGGTTTAGCATCAGCGAGACGTTTCATGGCGCTGAGGAGCGGCCCTTCAGGTAGCGCTGTGGGAGTTGGGTGCAGCGCCGAAGGGGTCCGTAGCGACAACCTGTTTCTGCTGCGAGCACAAGCTAAGGGACGGGCAAAAGGTATCGCTGCGAGCCGGGACTTCACGAGCGTAACAAGGAGATACCGCCACTACTCGACGGGCATGAAGGCTACCATGACACTCGCTACAGTGCGGACGAGAACCGGTGTTGCCGAGCATGGACAATCCGCAGGTTGAAGGACTCCATGTCACAGGCGTTGGGTTCCTCAGGGGCAGTGCTGACTTCGAGTCGTGTGGAGCAGTACGCCAAGTTCTACGGAGCCTGGTGGACCAGGCGTAACAGGCTGATCAGGTAGAAGTTGGCTAGCGAGTATCCTCATCTGCGGGCGCTACCTCACGCACCGGTGCCCGAGTACGCAAGCTACAGCGCCAGAGTGCCTCAAGTGGGCACCATCAGGTTGCATCAGTGAAAAACGTACTCCGTGCCGTCACGGGCGGCTGATAGGCGTGATGGTCGACGTGCGGGCTGTACCCCGACCACGGTGAGGTGTTACCAGGGTCACCTGTGAGGAGCATGGACGGATACGGGGTAAGGGCAAGGCGCGCATAACTATAATATACCGCCACCTCATAGTTTCGCTCTTGTGCGCAGCCCGAGCGTTCGCGCGCTAACCAAACCTGCTTCAGGGAGCAGCTGTATCCCACGCCAACACCTTCCGTCTGGCATTACACGCGATGTCGGCTGAAGGGCGAGCTGCGGATGTGGCCTATGTCCGATACTGCCATTGCTGCGACTAACGATGGATGTGAGGTGGAGAGAAGCGCTGAAGCGGTTTGCTACGGTCGCAGGTGGAGGTTCGACACCCGGTGGTGAAGCAGCGGCCCGCGCCGGCGTCTCCGGAGATACCGCACTTGAAGCTGTCCGTGAAGTGACCGTGCCGGTACACGACCAGGCTGCTGCGGGAGGTGCACCGCGATGACGACGGAAGGACTTACGCATCGAGCGCGGTGGGAGAGCGCGATCACGGGATCTGTGCCGCATGTGCAGCTGCGACGTCTTGCGGCTGAGACGCGTCGACACGCTTCAGCGATGCGGGACACGCTGATGCCCTTCCGCCACTGATGGACCGGTTCTGAGAGCAGGAGGCAGAGGACAGGCGATCAGGAGGGGGACAGGCGTAGGAGAGCGTCAGACCTCCACCGCCAGCAAGCGGTGAGTCGGACACTTCGAGCACGAGCGGCGCAGTGAACTCAGGCAGCAGCTCGTCAGACTTGCAGAGGGTGACTTCGTGATCGAGGCGCCAACGTGGCTGGCCTTCGGTATGCCGAGGCACGGGCAAGACGCACGCTATGTGCGCCATAGGGCACAGGCGCGGGCAGTGTCCGGACGCTCCGTGCTGCTTCAATCAGGACGTACGCCTGGTGCAGGATATGCATGGCGGCCAAGCGAGACCTCGATCTGCCGCGGGTGCTCAGGAAGGCGAGACAACTTCGATCTGCTGGTCATAGACGACCTGGGCGTACCTGCCCAGGGAGGGAGGGAGTCGGAGGTGCTGTCACCCTGATAGCGAGCGCACGAGCGCCGCTCGCTCGGCATTACCTCGAACCTGGTCTTCTCCGAGTGGGAGAAGGTGTTCGCCAACACAATGGCGACAGCGGCGGCGATCGACAGGATCGTGCATCAC